AGTCCAAGATCATTCATTATACATGCAGACAAGAGGTATGACTCCTGTTGACCACACATCCAATGGACTGGTGCAAGAAAGTATTCATACACAGAAATCTACACTTCTGTAACAATAGCAACTGCCCTTTTTCTTTGTTTTATGACATCCTCTCCAAGATCTCTTCCAAACAGAAGAAAACAAATATTTGACAAATTTATTATAATCCCTAACTACAGTGATACTGATAGGCGTTGGCCTATTGGAAAAAAAATGTCGAGGGGTGCAGGGGTCCACCCCTCCCCTGGCTCTTTTAGGATTAAGTTGAAAAGTGCAAATTTCACCTGGACTTACATATACATGTGCTCCAGTTACTTGTCAAACATGTCAAACTTCCAAAACTTGTGCCAAAATTGATTTTCATCCCCTACCCAAACAAAAAGTGCAACGAGTTCCATATACGGACAACACTACTTTTCCCTTGAAAAGATATAGGCCTAGCCTAGGCCTATATGTAGGCCCAGGCTAAGACACGTAAGAGCCATCAGAAAGTGATAACAATTAACATGTCCTACAAAGTAAAATTTAGCCAAGAAAATTCCAAAACATTTAGGCCTAGGCCCACTTAGAATAGAATAGAAAACACAAGTTTTTTCAGACTACTAGTCTCATAGGTTTGTGCACAGCTAGCCAGGGCCACAAGTGTTTTAGGAACTCTTTCCCAAAAAAGGGTGTGTGTGTGTGTGTGTGTGTCATCATGGGCATGTAACGTACCGGTAGGCCTAAACCATGTCGGCCTAAACCCTGACAATAATGACATATGGCATTGGCAGGTTCATTTTTACTTAGGCTAGCCGTATCTATCTGCACTGACAGAAACTCACCCTGTGGTCCCCCTTGTTCATGTCCACGAAATCATCCATGAAAATCGCTTGCAACACCTCCGATTCATTGTCTTGTCTCTCCTGAAAACTCTCTACAATATTATCTGACATCTTTAGTCATTACTACCAGACGATGGAGTTTTGTCGAAAAACTACTCAGCCATGTCAGCCTGTCACTTAGTATTCTAAATTACACATATCTTCAGCAATATAATTTGAAACCATGCTCGAAGCTGTGCAAGTGAACTTAAGACGACGATTGATATGTTAATAAAGCACTCGTAACATTAAACATACGTAAGTTTAAAAGAGCGTTTTGAGCATGGCGTCGACGTGTGCTGTTCAACATTAATAACAAAAATTACATTTTCCATTTACTGTTTAATTTTCCGTAATATAGTCTGGTAGCTGGAATTGTTTTCACATATGCCGACCCAAATTGACTCTAGCGACAAGGTACCAGACTTTCCCCTTGGCCAGTCTTGTCAACCTTAACCACAGAGCTAATGCAGGTATTTCGCTTTCGGAAATTCGAAAGTATAGCACGTCACGGTTGGGGTCGAGGCAAGACGACGACGCATACGATGGAAAACGAAGTGAGTTCGACCTCGAATGGTCCACTAAATTCTACGGACAAATGTAGTCCTAAAATTGATCCTTCTGAGTATACTCTACGAAAGAGACTTCCCCGCCGACTCCCAAAACGTAAAAATGATGTCTACGTGTCGAACCGGACCGATTTCAAGGCCCAAATGGCTCGTTGCCAGAAAATGCTTGACACTGGCGTTGACGAAATTCACATCCATGGGCTGGGAGCTGCCGTGAACCGTGCGGTTAACCTCGCACTCCAGCTGCAGAAGTGTAGCCTTTACACTTTACAGCTCTCTGCCAACACCTCCACGGTCGAACTTTTGGATGATCTGGAGCCCAGAAGGGATGACTTGGAACCAGGTACAAGAGATAGGAACAATTCTGCAGTACACATCAAGATTTCAAGAAGTGGAGACTCTGTCGCTTCAGCTCAGTGACCCTTGTTAATAAAATGGAGACAACACCTGAATACTGTACCACTACAGTTGATGGCACAGACAGAAGCCAGCATCGCTATTAACATTTGCTCCACCAGTTGACCAGTCATTCCAGTACTGCAGTAGTTCACCTTGCTATGTATCCTACCACCATAACCATCTCAACTCAAGGAAAACCTTTAGCAGTGGGGGAAAGTTCACTTTCAACAGCATGTCCAGCACGTTCCATCTATATTGTTTAGGAAACCTTAACTCACATGGAGTTTTAACTGAAACATGGACCTGCAACAGTTATATCTGTAAATGAGCTTCAACCACTGACAGCTATCCTACAACCTGAGTACATGAAATAAATGTTGTTTATACACATGCAGGTGTTGAAGTCGTTTGGAAAAGTCTGCTGTGGTGGTTATCTACCGGCAACTAGATCATTAGATGTGGTTTTGACCAGTTTTATAGCATAGACATACTTGATGTTCTAATGGTCCATGTGCCAAATATCTGATCAGTGCTACAGTACTGACCCCAGATGTCTCAATATTAGTGCTTACAAACTGGTCCTATTGAAATGTGTCACTTTTGAAAAATTGAAATCTTACCCATGGATCTGCTTACCCAAGTGAAGGACTTTTTCAGAGATGACGTTCTAGCTTTATGCAGTTAATTCACATTAGAATTTCATGTTTCAAATACACATACTAGCCTGTTAAGTTTGAATAAAATCTGGTATACTAAATTCTTGAAATTCATGTGAACATATCAATTTGACTTTTCCATACATAAGACTGTGTGGGCAGAGAAGAACAACCAATCCATTCCAGAGATGGTGATCACTATGTAAAAGCTTGCTCTGATTAAGGAACAGTGTCTTTAGTCTAGGGAATACAAGTCAAGTTTATGTGCAATCAGATAACTCAGTATACCAGATTTTATTCAATTTTTAACTTGTGAAAGGCTTGTTTGAAACACTTTGACCATTATGGTAATGATTAGTTCCTTGTGCTCTATGATGACAAAGTGTACAGAAAGTAAGAACAAGAGTTTGAACATAAAAAGCTTGACCATAACCCAAGTCCTTCAATATAAATGAAGTTTTGGGGAGATTTTGGACAATTGAAGAAAGTGGATTCCAGTCACTAATACTTTATATGGAAATATGGAAGGGCTGCATAGCACCGTGATCATAATATCGACAAAAATATATCAAATCAGTGCTCTGAAATATGTGATTGCCAAACTTTCGGTACTGAGTACCTTCTTCGGGGCAAGCCGAGCTTTCAGTAACCGAGTACCTTCTTCAGGGCAGGAAGATTCAGTTTTGAACTGGATCTGCTTGCCCGAAAGCTAGACAATCACATATTTCAGTGCACTGATTTGATATTATATTCTTGTCAAATACTTTATATGGAGCTTGATATCTCTCTGCAGAACAACAAAGATCTTCAGTTGGTTTCCAGCACAGTGGAGGATTCAGCAACTCATTTTACAGGCAAAAATAGAGTTTAAGAATGTCTATTGAGGTCAGTAGGCCACAGGCCATCATCAGGGCTCTGTTTTGATATAGTGTAGGTGAAGGACAATAACCCATGTGCAAGTTAAATTTGAATAAAATCTGGTACACTGAGTTACCTGATTGCACATGAACATAACAATTTGAATTCCTCAGACTAAAGACACTGTTGCTATACCTCATGATTCAGGGCAAGCTTTTACATAGCAACCACCATCTCTGGAATGGACTGGTTCCTTTGTGGCCCTTCTTTTCCATTGAGAACAGTGTATTGTTGCAAGGCATGTCTTATGTAACTAAGGAAAAGCTCCCCCCCCCCCTGAATCACGAGGTATAGAAACAGTGGTTTTAGTAAGGAGAATTCCATGTGAATTATGTTCACATGAATTTAAAGAACTCAGTGTACCAGATTTTATTCAAATTCAACTCCTTGATGGCTTGTTGAACTGGTATAAGCATCATGACTGCTGCTTTGACAAAATGCTGTCATAATGCTTTGACAAAAATAATATCGTACATGTGCAAAGCAAAACTGCTTCTGCATCTGTGGTGAAAGGAAAGTGAACTTCCAAATCTGTGTTGCTGTTTTCATTCAACTTATAACCAGCCGAGAAAAGAATAAATTGAAGTATGAATGATTAAAGCCATTCACTGGAAACTGTGACACTTTGTTTTGAAAAGACTTATTTTTATTTTCAACAGTTTCAAACGTGAATTACTCTACTTGGAACATGTATACACGTATCGATGTACATGTGCACGTGCATTTGGTTGAAAAAACACAGTTAAAGTCTATTAAAATGTACAAACTATATGTAAAAGGGAACTTTCTGTGTGTTCAGAATGTTTATTGACACTACATTGTAACAATGCATAAGATCATGAGCAATGAACATAACATCACCAAGGTTTGGGCTTCGAAAATACCTGTGCTTTTGCAGGTTGTAACAAAGTCTCTTCACACTAAATCTAAGGGCCTGCCCCATTTTTTGAATTATTTTCTTCACGTTGTATCTATCGATAACAGGATTGCACTTCATTGCACCTACATACATTAAAACAGATGTACACATGTTGAACCCCAAACTATGTTGAATTTCTTGTGATGGGAAGTACTATCATGTATTTTGCATACCAAAGAACATAACCGATTCTGATGTAAGCACACAAACGGATGTTGCTAACAGTACCGGTAAGCACATTATATTGAGATACAAATGCTGTTTTAACAGGAACTTGGAATTTTTCAAACTTACTATGTGCGCCACATGTAATTGAAAATGCCCACTTTAAGAAGGGGACATTCACAATGCAGCTATCAGATTGAAACAATGTTGAGGAAATGGCTGGAAATGACTTCATTTGTTGAGGATCACGGTATAAATTGTACATGTGTTGTCAGTCACATAATGACAAGATAAGGTGAAAAAAACATTGCCTGAGAAAATGAACAGACTTTGCTCAATGGAAGTTGGACTATGTTGGTGAGAGCTGCATTAAAAGAACTCAAAAAGAGACCCGTCATGGTAGCAGCGTTTTCTCAACAGTAAATTTCTGTAATTGTTCCAACCTCTAAATAAATTTCACATGTCAATAAGCATGCAGGCTGAAACAATGGAGTACTGCAGATCTGACAAAGAAGGGAAACGTACTGGAGATTTCATTTTAATAAAGGGGTACATACTAAAGCAAGCCCCCCCCCGCAACATATTAAGCCTAAGATTCTTTTTCATTGGTGTCCCCATTTTGACAAGGAATTGAAAGTAACAACTAATTGAGTAGCCAGTTGAGAATCATGGGTCTTCACCAAGAGTTGGTGCATCTGTTTCTTTGGCAATTTTACCTGGGCAAGAACTACCATTGATGTGATGCTATAGTACCAAAGTCCAAGAGTGATTTCACCACAAAGAAATAACTGGACTAATTCCTGATTATGACCATCAAGACGCACTCCCAGTTTCACTCTCTAAGGCAACTCATGAGGCCAACCATTCATTTTTCCACCACTAGCATACTTTGACCTGGAATAGAATGTGATCAGCGGTTGAACACATTGAGTGAGATGTGGTGATTCTCAGGTTTGATCGAAATTCTACGGCCGCTTCCTAGTCTCCATCAACTTCTCTGCATATTTACAAGAGAACGTCACATCAACAGGCTTCCAAGTTCTTGCCGGTATCTTGCATTTTGACTGGAAGGAAAACCACAGTCCAAGAGTCACCTGGATCTGCATGAAGTGTTATCAGTTGGCTCTCATGTACAAACCAAACAGCGCCCTCAGTGAGTCCCGGATCCCACCGATAAAAATGTTCACGCACCAGTTATCCACATCAATCAAATTGGTATCGGGAGTACACAACATCAAACAGCTCCTTGCAGCGTATCTTGGCGCCAAGCTTGGTGCAGAGCAGGAAGGCACCGGACATCTTCCGGTGCAGTGAGTAGCTCTCCTCCGGGGGCGGGGCCAGTCTATGGTTGAGCATGACCGGAAGGATGGACTGGATGCGTCTGGTAGTGTCTTGTGTCGCGAAGTCGAAGGGTTCTTCGCTCATGAAGGGCTCCCCTAGAATCATTACTGCGTCCACGTGAGCTTTCTCCATAACCTATGTCAAGGGAAATGTTGAAGCATATACATGTATCAAATTTGGAGTTTTTTTAGGCGAAGATGGCAAGAATAGTCAAAATAGTGGTGACTGAGGCTGTGAATCCTCCTCGAGTGTAAGTACATGAACATGTACACCCCCACCAGCAAAGAAGACGGAGCCTGTTGGGAAAATGTTCAACCTTTCAAACTCAAAGACTGTGCATTCACACAGGAACTCCGCTCTTCTGCTCAGCATGCCTCGTGCCAAACACAAACGAACCTGCACGCACATGATGAGTGCTCCAGCTCGGAGCAGACGGTAACCTATCACTGCAATTATTATGGTGTAAGTGGTGAAAATGACAATGGAAGGCAGCAAAGTTGATGATTGATCAGTTGATCTCAAGATCTTACAAACAGGTGCGTCAACTCTACAGTGTTTTGAGATGTACACTCCACATTGTTTTTATAATATAATCATGGAGATTAAGGGGCTCAGTTCTGCAGTGCTGTTTAATGGCTCATTTTGTACTAACATCCAGAGACTTTAACCACTTCATGCCGGGGCATTTTTCAATGTTGATGATGCTGGGCCGGCATGACTATCATTTTTTCCGTTTTCAAAATCCTTCGAAAATTCACCATTTCATTTAACGGTTGTTTATAGCCACACAAAGTAATCTTTAGGCACTACTCTAAGTTGACAGGTGACCTTCATTCAGGTCCGAGTATTTCAGCCAGGTCTGCAGCCTTGTAAAAAGAGCCCAGATCGTGCGGTGTTATATAACTTTCTTTTGTTCACGAACCTGGCTCAGTGCACTGCTGACCTCTTTTCAATAGGGGCCAGATTAGCGTGCAGCGGTGCTGTGTGGCTCACCGCTGCGGTGGTGGAGCGTTTTGTCCCCGGTGGTAATCCGCTCGCTCTCAATGCCCCAAACCCTGGTATACGGTTTCAAAACAAGGCTGGATTACCACCACTTTTGAGAGGGGAAAATGTCAGTAATGCCCAGCAGCCTGGTCTTTTGTTTGGAGTGCGGTCTTTTGTTACAGGGCCCTGTTTCCTTTGTCTGAGTTCAGAGACCCCGGCCTAGCATATAAACCATGCTTCTCCGATTCCGGAGTCCCCGGTAGGAAGTGGTTAAGACGTACGCACAGCAAAAGCAAGTTAAACCGGGGAGGAAATGGTTGTGAAATTCAGTGATGTAATGATAGAAATCTCTGTGAATGTGGAATTTCAGTACACACACGCCAAGAAACAGTGCCGGGCAGCATGATTTTCAGCTAAGCTCAACTTTTGCACAGACTGCAAAGCAGTGCTGCAAAACTGAGCCACAGTTTTGAAGAAATGCTGAGGCCTCATTATTGGCAATTTTCTGAGCAATGGAATCAATAAGCTCGCCAGACTAACCTTGGACTCATAACCCGTCAGGAAGCCTAGCCTCTTGGAGTACTCCAAGACATCTTCCCTGCTACCTGATGAAGCTCCCTTGATCACCTTCAAGGAAAACGCAGGGATTCTTTGTGAAAACAACACTCACTTCAAAATCAATTATCAAAGGTAAAGTCCTTCATCTAAAAGCTGTACAACTGTCCATAAAGCAACTGACAAAATTATTGTTGATAGCACACCTGGTTTAACCACTTGACGCCGAATGACATTTTAACACACACAGTTTTCCTGATTTGTTCCACGGAGGACGTGTACACTCGTTTAAGACCTTTTGTTTTTCATTTCCGTGGTTGATGCATGAATGCATCATGCTTGGTTGCATCATAAAAAAATTGCACTTTCGAAGTATTTACGAAAAAACCAACTCCCGGCAGCTTTTCGGGTAAGAAAATCCAATGTTAACGAGTTAAAGAGAGCTACGGAACTAAACACATTGTGACATTATTCTCTGGCAAGCTGTCATTCTGAAGAAAAAGTTCTTTTCCTGCAGTGTGCCTAAAAATGCACGTTTGGAAATTGCAGTTAACAGTTCATTTGTAACAAACGTTATATTAATTCAATATATATATATATATTGGTGCATTTAGAAATTGAACACACCATCCACACTCCTTCATGCTTAGATTTAATGATCAATGGAAGGAATTCTCATGATGCACAGCACAGTCAAGTACAAGTATTTATTGAAGTTTTTCTTTTCAACGTCAAAATCAACGTCCAGCTATTACGCATACTGTACCTTGATGTAATCATCCACAAATGACTTGGAGAAATTCCTGGAAGCCCCAAAGTCTATCAGAGCAACCTGTGGTTGGAAGTCAGATGAAGATCGTATGTTACCACTTGACCGTAATTAAAATGTCTGTGTACATTTTGAACAATCTTCAGGTATTATATTCCAAGTCTCAGGTGATGTGTTTGAACGGCATAAATATTCCAATGGAAAGTACTTTGAGCTACAATTTGTGACCTACCATACCAAAACAGGGCTGAAGAATGAGCAGGTTAAATTGAACGTAGAACATTGTTTATTGTCCATATTTATACGTCAGCACTTCAATACTTTCACACTTCGTGAGATCCAAAATCTTTAAAAGGCTGCTTTGTTAGTGACAGACAATAAAAAGTTGTGGAATTCATAACGTCTACATCTTCACTGGTATAATTTCCAGGATAGGGGGTTACAATTCTTCAGCCTGGTTTTTCAGTGGGGATCACATCTCATCAGCAAGACTGGAAGATGCTGGGTGTTAAAACATATTAAAAGCCATGTAGAAGACAGACTGGCATTGAGTAACTTAATGATGGCATCTGCCACAATGAAAAACAGCATACTCAGTGTTTACTCTGGAATTTTTTTTTCTGAGGATTGTCCCTACAGAAAATGTTACCTAGAATCGGTGGCTGAGCTTGGTGAGCGTACACGACGTGTATGCTGTTTTCCATTGTGGCAGATGCCATGACCAAGTTACCACATGTCCATCTCCTGTACTTTTGAACTTCATCTACTTAGACAGTGGACGGCCAATTTTCAAACACACACATGGACAAAAAGTAAAATTTACTGAAAAAAATCTGAAACACAAACACAGACCAAATAGGTAGAAAAAGGTAGAACAGGTAGGCTTTTCAACAAAAAGACTCGAGCTTACGACAAAACCGTTTCTTTGTAATACTGTGAGTTTTTTTCTAAAAACAAGGAGGAACATTTGAGCAAGTGAATGGGAGGACAGATAAAACGAAACACACAAAAGTCATACAACATTTCAATTCCAAGCTGGATTGTAATGGACACCAACTTGGAAATGTTGGAGCTCACCCGGGTAGATACAATGACATCAATTCCTAACTATATACCTTCTTTGTGCGCTGGTTATATAAGAAGTTGGACCAGTTAGGATCTGTCTGCATACAATGCCATTCAAATAGTTCCTTCAAGCATAATCTCAGGATGTTCATACAGATCTGCAAGAAATGGATATAACTCCGAGTCGGTTATGGAAGCTTGGAAATCGTTCTGAAGTGACATGTGATGTTTTTAAGGCATGTCTATTTGTTCTCAAGAAACAAAAATCAAGATACGGGGTGATGAAATCATTAGCTCTACGCCTCAAGATCGACAACACACGGCTGAAGTGAGAAGCCGACCGAATAGGAAAACAATTCCAACAAAATGCAACAGAAGATCATGTGGCACCATGAAATTCACTGGATAAGCACCAGCTTTTACCATTAGAAATTATGAACTGTGTACTCTTCCCACTGTGTGGACATCTAAATCACTACATACAACAGATCTAACGACTGCTTGATCTTATTGCATCTGCTGCCAACATTACGGAGGAAAGATGGAACTTTCAAGATCTCATCTCACATGATTCCTGGTGTCTTGGTCCAACCCTTCGGCCTTGTCCAGTGACATGCCTTCCATCAGTTCAGTGGTCAGGATCTGCTTAGTGGACAGCTCGGACATAACCTCTGGTACTATGAAAATGGGGTCATCTCTCAGGATGTGCCTGCAAGACACACAGCACCGAACACAGGTAAGGGAAGAAACGGTCTTATCTCTGAAAGAACTAGCCTCCTGCACAAGACAAAGTCATCTGAGGTTACCATTCCACATTGACTACATCAGTGTCAGTGAGTTATCCAGTGGGGGATAGTAAGTAGGCCCCCCGGGACATGTTGGCAACTTGAATTTTATTTTTATGTTAGGAACTGAAATTGGCAGCAATTAAGAAATGGTACTCTCACCTTTCTTGGAGAAAGGGGGGAGTTAATAAGGATTCTTTTACAGAAGAAAAAAACTGCTAGTTGGACAGTCATTTTTAGAAAGTTTCCATTTTGCACCCCCAGCCAAATACAGGAGTACACCACTGATCTTTGTGCTAAGTCACCGGAACTGACAGGAGAAGTTACAGTGCCTAGATTAACAGAAACAATATGCCCTGAGGTGCTGTGCTGGTGTCATACATAGCACAGGCCACAACAGCCAACCTTGACTTCTCTCTCTCTCTCTGACCATTATGCTCAACCAAAATTTATAACTTGATTATGCTACACTGTGAATGTACACGTGCGTATCAATAATTCTAATGATAAACATACAGTTGATTTGGTCTTACAAAGCCCATGATTTGCCATACAGACTATACCCTGTAGTTAATTAATTGATGGCCATATTGGAGTGTACATGTATTTCTTTCTCTAACTTATTGCAACTAGTGGCTTGGGATTAAATTGATACATTTGTACGAAACCTGGCACAGAACTAATCCACTGCTCAAATCAAAACCCACATCACCACATTCCAACAAACACGGAGAGAGGATCAAGAGGCATATGCCATAACGATGCTGATTACATTTTCATCATGGAGTCTTCAAGGTCACTCACTTGAAACTGCGGTACCATTCTGCTTCTCGAGTGTAATCTACTTCCCAAGCTAACTCTTTTCTTGCCACGTCCACAGCATTCTCAACGTAGAGGCCTGGTGGGCGAAGTAATAGAGGAACCAATTTTCAAGTTGTACATGTTTAATAATTTTCTTTTCGTCTTTGGTGATCGGATTAAGTCTAATTTAGCTGGAAGTCTTGGGAGTTTAAAAAACACCTTGTCCTACAAGAGAGGAAGTCATCTCAATTATAGGTATTAAGAATACAGAAAATTTAAACATAACAAAATGTACGTCTTATGTTATATTTTCATATCAAAGCTAAAGATGTCTTGCCAGTCAATCACCCTTAGGATTCTCATAAAGTGTTTGTGACAGAGATTGTGCCACTGAAAATAGTGGAGAGATGCATTGTTAATGCTAACCTTCAGGGAGGACATTCCACACTTTGAGGATCGCCATCAGATTATTGATGTCGCTGTCAATTCCCTGTGCAACTCCAGGATACTATGTAGGGGAATAGACAGGCAACTTATGGCATGCAAAGTTTAAAAGAACAAAAATCATAATCTACGCTTCTGTCAAAAGGTGATCAACACCACATGATCGAGTTTCAAAAAGTGAACATGAAGTGGATAATTATAAAAGAAAAGAGCAATACGGGCGTTTCACATTGGTGCACCTCCAAGAGTTTACAACGCACTGGCCAATCATAATGCACAAAATCTGTCGACCCAATGCGCGTTTGGAAAGGGTCGACAGATTTCATGCATTGTGACTGGCCAACGCACTGCAAACTCTTGGAGGTGCACTATTGTGAATCATCCGTACAGCAGACAAAACATTTTCTCTTTCTCATTGGTCATTGTGAAAAGAGCACAAAATATAACTTGACGAAATAAAACGATTCAGAAATTAGTAACAAGAAAAAAAGGAACATCCTATGTTCTATAATAGTTTTAGTGTGTTTCTAATGTTCCAGATTTTTAAAAAAGGTCCTATGCTTCCAGTCACTGTACATACTTGGATTTTCATCGCGACTTCCCTGCCATCATGCATAGTAGCAGCATGCACCTGACCGATAGATGCTGCAGCGAAGGGTCGATCCTCAAATGAAGCCACTTTGCTTCTCCAGTTCTCACCTAGCTCCTGTTTCAATACCCTCTGACAGATCAAAGACAACAGGGACCGTTAGATTTAAGAGGTAAACAGGACACGTACCGCCTCAGAAAAAAGTTGCTTGTTATAACGTGTTATTTTGCCAGGTGTTTTATCGGACACACAACAAAGTGCCGTTTACATAAAGATATCCATGTACAGTACATGGTTTTCTTGGCATAACCACAGAAAATGTGGGTAGCACCACCCATTTTTACAAGCTCCATATGTACATGTACATGTATGCCGTACGGTACTTGCATCATTTCTAATGGTCTCTAATGTTTGTACGACGGACGCAGCATCAAGGTTTAGTAATCCTCACTCTTTTTTTTCCTCAGAATCTGTCAGGCAGCACTGAATAAAAGAGCTTACAAACAATAACATCAGTGAAGGCCCCAATTCATGTCAATCTACAAAAGGATTTTACATTTTAACCTACATTTCCATCAAAAAGTCAACAACTATGGTACTATACAGAGTTGAAGTCGAGTCAGTCACGGGTCCAAGCAAATTAAACACAAATCATCCAGTCTTAATTAAAGAGTACCAGTAGCTGCAATCGATATGTTTTAATAACAAATGCACCTTTGTGTCTCAGTTAACCTTATTTTCACTTTCTTTTCACTAGTTCCAACAGGTATTTTACTGCTTTTTTTATTTCTATGCTAATGAGTATTTTACATTTTCATGAGCAAAACTGGGATGTCATCTCAGGAGGAAACCTGAATCTTACATTGGTTTGTACACCAAAAAGTCCTGCATTTTTGTAGATTTTCCTGGACTCAGTTTTCTTTTCTTTGCTGATTCATAGCTGTTTATGTGCTAGCAATAAGCAAGCATCCATCCCTATCGAAATGTTTTCGATAAACAAATTCTGGGTTCACAGTTTGAATAGAAAAGCCTACCCACTGAACTATGGCTGTGTCCGAAACGGGCTTCCAGAGCTACAGCTAAGTCTATTGTCCTGCGCGTCTCCACGCATTTTCAGTGGTGCGAAGACCTAGAACTAGCTCTGGACAAGAGATTCGGATGCAGCCTAAGTCTTCCCTAGATGACTTCACAGCAACAGCGCCCTCAGTTTTCCAGGAAAGCATGGATAATTTTGTTTTAAAAAGTGCACTTTTTAAGGCAGTTAACCAAAACAGAAATGTGAAAGAGTTTTGATATATCGAAGAAGACCAGACATTAGCAGCAGAAAGCAGGGGGTTATTTGGGTTCAAGTCCAACCCGAGCAAGTTTGTGCAATTTTCTTCGACAAGCTCCTGAACGATAATGGACAACACTTTAACCACTTGCTTGAATTGTTGATACAAGTGAGTCCAATGGGTATGTAACAAAGCTTGTGATAACACACCTCCATTTGCCAGGCTGGCATGAAGTCAGCACTCTGCCTGACTCTGTCAAACACTCGCTGTAGCTCAGGGCTGATCAGGGCATTATCTGCTAAAACAAAATCACTGTTCAAAAGAAGATTGTATCTGTGCACTTTTTCTGATCTTTGTCATCACTCCATGCAAAATGAATCTTCAAAGAATGGAAATATGAAAGATTTTCTGAAATGTTAATTTGCAGCATTTTTTACCTCAAGCGCAGCACTTTCTAAAAAAGCTGTGAGCATTTTTAAATTTGCTGTACAATTTCAAACTGTTTTGTTAAAGATTCAAGTAATCTTGGATGCTTATACCAAGGGAGGATTCAACCTTAAAAGTTACCAAAGCGATGCTAAAAAGCATTTCTAAAGCACCAAAAAAAATTGCATTAAAAAACCACCACAATGTTCGTGATAAATATTCATCAGCAGTCTTATTAGCAATAGCAAAGCTATCACTTAGCATGTTTAGTTTTAATCACAATTCAACTGTTAATTTCTTTCCTTTCAGTGGAATCACAGAAGTACAACTCGGCCACGTTTTAATCATCACAGGTCATACACGTAGTTATCTGATGTTCAATGTACTAAACATGTGCCACTGAATTCTACCAGACTACTGGATTTGAAGGACGCACAAAGTATCCATGCAAATGGTTTGAGCGCCAGAGTACAAATTCTTTCCAGGTAAGAGCTCCTCGACCTTCTCCACGGAGAATCCCCACATATTCTTCCCTTCTCCTCAGCCTACCTTGAATGCTCAGCATCTGACCAAGTTTCAAGGCCGCTCCTCTCACACGGCACAAAGTGTCGACGATTCGCTCCGCGTTGGCCTCTGTCAACAGCAAACTACCTCCAAGCTTGCCATCTAGTTCAAGGAAAAGTTCAAAGATCAAGAGAGTGACATTGTTGTAATGTAACTTTACTTTCTACATGTATATCTAACCCTCCCAAATCCTCCAAAATCCTTTTCTGCAAAGCGGAGGAATTTGGAGGATTCAAGGTGTATGGCAAAAGTGCATGGCTGGTTTCAAAGGATGCCATAGGTGAAGGTCATGGATTAGACCCTATGTTGTTTGTGCTTAGTCAAGCACAAATTCAGCCCGATATTTCTTTTGAATCAACTCTACAGCTCAAGAGTGCCATTCGCACTGCCTCAACATAATGACAGGAATTGCCGGAGGATTTCGATGGATGTGGGCAGTTAGGCACACCTCCATATGACATTTTCAAGAAGTATTGGAGGATTTGGGAGGATTTAGGCTGAATGCATTTTTTCATGTTGAATATCGGAGGATTTCGGAGGATTCAGGATGGTTCCTAGTAAAAAGGCCTAGGGGGGGTAGGGTTTTAATCTCCAGCATACAAGTGGGACAAGGCTGCCCCTCCAGTCAATATAATGTCAAAATGTGACCGGAAAGTCGGTACTGGGCTATTTGTAAAGTACAACTGGGGAAAGTTTAGATAACCTTTGACAGTAAAGAAGTATAAAGGTTTAACCTGGGATTATAAATATGTTGGTGATAGACAGTGCTCTGACAAGATATTCTGGACCAAAATAGTTGACAAAAGTAAAGGAGCGCATGCACGCTTGAGGTAGGATAAAAACCACTGGATTTTTGCCCTGGAGAGATTACCTTATCACGTGCAATGCACAAAAGATTTACTTGCCCTCTTACAAGATCACCTATCAGGTCCAATTATAAGCCTGTAGTGTGGGCCTTCTTTTCTTACCTTCTCTGAGTCCTAGACTTCTCTTGGCCTTCTCGGCCACTGCACCTATGCCAAGACCAGCTGCTAGACCTAAGGATAAGATTGGGCTAATCAGTTAAAAGGGTATATAGGATCATTCTGAAATAATGGCCTGACAAATTGTCAAGAATAAACATGGCTAGTGGCTAGTAATGGAATTTTGAGGCAAGGCAATATGAATTTTAATATATGATGCTTGAACACGTTGAAAGGTTTCTGACAAGCTCTTAGTAAGTAATCAACATACATTGAGTGCATGAAGTCAAGAACAGGCTGGAAAACGCTCCTTTGGAATTATAGCTACGACTAAGGAACTCTTTCCAACTTACTTCCATTTGATATTTTGTCATTTAAAATGTAGGTACTTCAGAGAGACGTATTGTCTGTGACAGAATTTGTTAAATCTTGACAACTGTCAACAGTTAAAATTCATTCAATTCCAGATATCTGTACAAGATTTATTGTGGAATGTTGTGGTAATGCAAAGGCATGTATGTAAAGTGTTCATAAAATGCTACTTTGGTCATAAAATGCAACTCCAAGTATTACTGACTTGAACTTGCTATAAATGACATCATTTCTGTAAATATGGTTTCAAGCTTTGTACATGTACAGCCGAATTTCAGGGAGTATAATCAATCAAACTGATCTCTGTGCCAAGAAATGTTCCTCAAAAAAAGACTGTTTCTCGTTGTCTCGAATAAAACTGAACATTTAAAAAGTTTTAAATCACTGGTTTAATGTGTAAACAACAATTTATTTATCTTGTGCAAAGATTTTGAGAGTGCTGCTATCCATGAATATTTAGACAAATTTTGATCTCAAAGTTGGCACACTCTTGCTGGGTGCATGATCTCCCTAAAGAAACACTGTTTTTCATGTCAAGTGGGAAATGGTTCCGGTGGAATAATCTTTGTGTTCTTACCTCCAAAGTTCCAGACTCTGCCGAGCCGAGATGCTGGGACAGTCCTCTCTTTAGCTTGGTCACTTAGCTGAAGAGAGACATAGAAATTGCAAGGTGTAGCATGGACATTTATGACAATCAGGCCAGTACAACACTGGACTACATCATTGGACAAAATAAACCGCTGGATTTAAATGGTGTAAGATGTAATGAAAGAAGAAATGGGTGGGAAAAGAATTTAGAATATACGGGATGACATTGGACATTGCTTCAATCTATTACCGGTACACATCACAGTGCGCTGGCCCAAATGGGGTCCGTGTATAATGACGTTTCTTTAGAATGACGTACCAGGCGTGTGTACATGTTTGCAAGCCCCTTAGCACGGCGCACACCCAACCCCATTTCTACAAATGTTTGGTCTTTGTGTGGGCACCCAACCATGGCCATCCACCACACTCGGTCTTCTGTCCTTGCAGGTGTTCTCCCTGCCACCAATGTGGGCACATAGGGCTAACAGTGTTGAGGGTTTGTCACTCCCGATCATAGGGTCAGGGATTCAAACCAAACATAGGGCATACTTTGTGACATTTTCATTCCCGCTTGCCTCTCTCCATCTGGGAGTATAAATGGGAGCCTATGAGGGCAGAGAGGGTTACTGTGCTTGATTAGTGAGGTAGCGTTTAAAATAGCTTCACCGAGCCGTTCGCGCCCCAAGGAGCTGAGGCAGTTTATGATTGTTACTGGGCCTAGTGAGCCAGGATAATAATTTTTTTATTCGGTTTATAACATGCCTTACTTTGGGTTTGATGAGAGGACCTCGTGGCTTGGATGATTTGGATGACTTGGCTTGCATTCGCAACTTCTGCAACTGCTCTTCGGTCATTCCGGTGGACGACTCGTAGTGCAGTGACCTCCGATGTCTGACAATGAAGGGAGACGCCAAGGTGTGGAGACCTCGGCTTTGCTTTGGTGGAGAGGTGCCGTTTGGATAAGGCATTTCTGTTGCACTGTGTAAGGAGGTGGAAAGACACATTTATGACTTGACTTAGTGTACTGGAACACATTTCATGTGGAAAGTTGGTAATGTACTGGTACATGTACATGTACATGTGTGTATAACCCTAGCAGGTTTTTGCCACATAACCAGACTTTTAAAGCTGTAACTGAATAGGGTCCATGAATTGTCACACAAGGCGACATCAATGTACATGTATTTTGGAGCTACAGGTACATGGAAACTTCATGTACATGTAATTCTCATGTCGTGCATACTTGCTAAGAATCACCACTGTTATTATCACGCCCCTTGGCTGCTTTCATCACTGGTCAGTCACATAAATACATGTACAGTAGCTTACCTCATAAAACAGAGGTAAATGTATGAAAAATGCCACTTAACTGTTCCCCTTAAACATACACGGTACACTTGTACAGCACACAGTGCAGGATGCATGCACTAGCAGGACGTTTGTGGGGTGCATTTACTACCTTTGCAGTGTTTTCAGGATTTGAATGCTCATCCTGCAGGATGGAAACAATGAATTCTCAATAATCATACTGTTACATGTATAAAGTGTAAATATAATTCCACTTCAATTGAACTTCCTGGACTTTATGATACTGTTGATACGCGTGTACAAAATAAAAAGCGTTAGATGAGTCTGCAATGCTTATAAATACGGAGGCTCTTGTTCATTAACCCCTTCGCAATGGATGACGGTAAAAGCCGCTGTAAAAATTGAGATCCTCTGCCCGCTTTTCAGCTATTATTCTCGGCCCACGCTCGAGCAAACACGGTGAAAGAAGGCAGACCCTGGCTCTTGTATATGGTGATTGGCCTTTGTGTGTATCCTAGAAATGAAAAGACTAATTTTGCATCATAATCACCAGTTTCACAATAGTCCCCACTTTGAAAAGAGGCAACGGGAATGTGGAAGAGTGAGTAGAGCCGCATGCCACCGAACAATCAGCCTTTTCTCAGTGAAATTCAAAGCGTGCAGAGCCCGCAGGGCTACAAACCGAGAATTTGCGGTTTGGTAGGTGCTTGGTATCTTTCAGTTTCACAAAATTTCTGAACATCTTTTACTCTCTGACTGTATAAACGAGCAGGAGAGATCTTACAACAAGGCAGCTAGTCTACATGATATGTACATGTACATGTACCAGTATCTGTCTGAGTCATCTGAAAAACAAAACTGCGGGTACAGAGACCAATGCTGTGGGACGTGTGAGCAATTATTGCTGCCCAGACAGCTTGACAGCATTAGCCTTTGATGTGATACATCATCTTGAGAGCTACTAACAGATTGAAGAAAGAAGCAACCAAATACGGCCATTAAGTGCTGAGATCATGACACCGATTGGCATCCTCTTTAAACACAGGATTTCTCTTCACAGTCATCCGGGTGAAGTCCATGCACACAATCCTCAACATCTACTTATCCAATCTGGTAGAAGCTGATCCCTTTTACCTACTACACCAATTTCTATTTGTGATACTTTCACCAATATGCACAGAGAATAATGGTCTGTTGGAAGTGCACTTCTACCGGTAAGCAGCCGATACATGTCCCAAACTGCATCAATTCTCTTTGTAGTTACCATAGCAGCTGAGAGATTCTCAGCAGTACGCCATCCTCTGACATCAAGCGAAAAGGCTACTAAATCTCGAGCAGCAAGAATATCAGCAAGACTCTGGCTGCCATTCATTATCGTTGGAGTGGCTTCCATATTCTTACCACTTCCAGAGACTACCGTACCTTTCCTTGGTGTCCTGTTCTCGGCTGATTTCATTATCAACATTGTATCTTTCATGTTGACTGTTGCTTTAGACATCTACATTGTGAAAATCTGTACTCAAAAAGCCCAATCTTCAAACTGCCTAAAGCAAGCAGGCAAGGTCCAACATGTATGTATGGTTATTACCAATACTACTATCTGCTATTTGCTGAACTCATTGGAAACTGTTATTTCAATGATTATCACTGTGGCAAAAACCAATACTTTGTCTGTCCAAGCAGCTGAAGTGTTAAACCTTAGAGAAAAAAATGGACATTCCAAGTGCATGTTCAGACATTTTGCGGCTTATCAACTGCTCCATTGATCCCCTTATCTACAGTGCTACCAACTCTGACTATTGTACAGCTGTAATCCAGGCTTTCTCATTCCTCAAACTGTGCTGTCCTTGCTACCCAAGACAGAATCCCAGCCATCACATCCAAGGGAACAGGTTGAGCTTCATGTGATTCCAAAGCCACAAAATGACCAACAGCACCATGCTTCTAGGCCAAGCAAGAGCAAGCTACAGTACCAAACCAAGGCCTGGCACAGCACACAGAGAGTCAGCAACCACTGCACAGCTGTCAACAATGTTCCAGGTCAGGTACCAGCAAGGCATCCATGCACAGTCAGCAGCATGTTCTAGTAAATGAACATGCAAAACCTGCAGAGATCCCAGCGCTTGCAAGTTCACATATAGATCAATACTCCAGTCTGACTGACTGTACGCCATCCATGCAGGGGGAGCAGTGTGTGCATCCAGGACCAGTAGACAGCCAGCGTCACAAGCAGGTACCGGTACTCAGGGA